AGAAAGAAAAGATTGCAATACATCGCTGTTACATCTCTTGGGTCTTTGTAACAGCAGATACTTTTGAGTTTTCTACCTCCTTAGCTCCTGGAGTTTTCTACCACATCTAAGTGTTAGCACATTAATTTTCAAGGGCTGAGGTTGTAAGAGGCACTTAAAGGCTATTTAAAAGCTGTTTTTTGCTGAAAAACATCGATCCCTCCCTTGGACCACAAGGTAACTTAAAAAAAAAAAAAAAAAGGTGAGAAATCTGGTCCTTCTGGCTTTCATCCTGTCTCACTGACCTTGGATTGGACTCTGGTTTCATTACACAGACAGGGTCCTCCCTAAGCTGTCTCCCTATTTCTTTCCTCTTCAAGGCCACAGGCCGAAAGAATCATTGTCCTAAGCCTGTAGTCACCTTAGATTCAGACACAGCAAGGCTTTGCTGGCAAGACAGACTTCCATTTCTGGATCCTCTTCCAGGTTGTGCATATTGAGGGGGAATTCCTGCTAGGGAATTAAGGGCCACCTGCTGAAGATGAGTACCGAGTGCCGTCTCAAGACAAGGACAGTTATTTATAACGAAGAAGCTGCATTCTGAGCAGATAATTTTGTTGAGACCAGATTGGTTCCTTTAGGTGAAGATGGTGACTAACAGATCAGACAGTGATTAACAACTTCAAAAACCATCTGAATTTTTAATTACATGTGGCTCACAAATGCCAGTGGAAACTAGAAAAAGGGTTGGCTGGAGTTACAGGCAATTGTGAGTCACCCAGTATAGGTGCTGGGAACTGAAACTGTGTCCTTTGCAAGAGCGGTACATATCTCAACTATCAGGGTTGACCGTTTCTCCAGCCCTGATGAGCAACTTATCAGAACACATTTTCGGACTAAGATGGCTTAATTATGTATATCTTTTGGTCCCAGTTTGAATTCTTCTATTTATTCCTGAAGTTCATACTAGCACCCTGAAAAATGACCCTGGGGTCACTGGACCCCTTCACCCATTCTGTTTAAATTGTCTCTGCTTTTCTTTTTCTTTTTTTTAAAGATTTATTTATTTATTATGTATACAGTGTTCTGCCTGCATGTATGCCTGCAGTCCAGAAGAGGGCACCAGATCTCATTAAGGATAGTTGTGAGTCACCATGTGGTTGCTGGAAATTGAACTCAGGACCTCTGGAAGGGCAGCCAGAGCTCTTAACCTCTGAACCATCTCTCCAGCCCATCTCTGCTTTCCACCATTATATTATTATTGTTGTTGTTGTTATTTTGATATAAAGTCTCATTGTGTAGCCCTGGCTGGCCTGAAACTTGCTTTGTAGACCAGGCTAGCCTTGAACTTATGGAGAACTGCTTGCCTTTGCCTCAAGAGTGGAGGATTAAAGGGATATATCACCATGACCAGCCTTCATCTTTTTTTTTTAAAGATTTATTTTTTTATTTTATGTGTATGGGTGTTTTGTCTGGGTGCATGTGTGTGTACCAGGTGTATGTAGTGCCCAAAGAGGCCAGAAGGCTGTGTCAAATCCTCTGAAACTGGAGTGACAGATGGTTGTGAGCTGACATGTGGGTACTAGAAACTGAACCCAGGACCTCTGCAAGAGCATGAAGCACTTTTAACTTCTGAGCCATTTCTCCAGCTCAATTGCTCATCTTTTTAAGCTGCTGGAACCAGGCCTTTTGCCTTAAAACCCTGGTTACAAGGAAGTTCACAGCTCTGCAGAAAACTGCAGTGTGTGTTGACTGAGAGGCCAACATGACAGAGTACATTTTTGCATTTACGGTTCCCTAACCACAAGTGCAATAACGCTACATTTCCTGGTAGAGTTCCACCCATTGCTCAGCTATTACTCAGCAGAGGCCCTTAGACTCCAGTCCAGGGCTGAGTATCCACCCACAACTCTATAGTCCTTACATGGGCACTGGAGGGAGTTCGGCTGCCTGTTTTCCACCTGTAAGGCAACTCTCTTCCACAATGACACACTCAGGGAGGGCTTTGGAGTGGACAGAGAGAGATTAGGGGGTTCTGAGCCCAGACTGGGACAGCCAATAGAACTGACCATATCTGCTGCCCACGAGGACTCTGGGTAACTTAAGCAGGCACTGAGCAGCACACTAAAAACACAACTCAGCAAAAGTCCCAAATGACCCCTGTTCCTTTAAATTGAGAGCTGTCTGGGAGTTCCCTGCTGCTGAAGTGAGGAGGAACCAGCCCTGATTCCAGAGCAACAAAGGGTCTCCTTAGGCTTTGCACAGTGCTTCCTTCCTCGGTGACCAACACCCTTCACCTGCCCTTCTCTGGCATTCAATGCCTTGTTGCTGGCAGGCTTAGCTCTCCCTTCCCCCTTAGTAAGTAAAACATTCAAAAGATAAAAGCAGGTGTGGTCCAGTCTTCTGTCCCTAGCCACCTGTTTGCCCTCCGAACGTGCCCAGCAGGGTGGCCAGACGCCAGCTCCTTTCACAGACATTCCATAATCTTTGATACATAGACATGAAACATTTTTTAAATTTTTATTTATATGAGAGTGGCCGAGGAGGCCAGGAGGTATCTGATCCCCTGGAGCTGGTTATGAGCCACTCAATGTGGGTGCTGGACTCTTAACCCATGGCTAGCTTTCCAACCCAAGATATGAATTTTCCCACACAATTATGTTTTCCTCTGAGACAAAGCTTTTCTGTGTAGCCTTGCCTATCCTAGAACTCACCCTGTTGACCATACTGGCCTTAAACTCAGAGATTAGCCTGCCTCTGCCTCCTGCTGGGACTTAAAGTATGAGTTACAATGGACCTACTCCCCCAACCCAATTTTTACAAAAACAGCTTTCCAACACTGTTCTGCCTATTCTTTTGCTAAGCTAAGCTTCTGTATGTGATAGGCCATTCCCAATCATCACACAGTACTTTACATTTTTCTTTCTTTCTTTTTTTTTTTTTTGTGGGAGGGGGTTTGTTGAGACAGGCTATCTCTTTGTATCCCTGGCTGTCCTAGAACTCCCTCTGTAAACCAGACTGACCTTGAACTCAGAGATTGGCTAGCCTTCCTACTGCTGGGAAAAGGTGTGGTCCAAACACCTGGCCTTTTCTCATGGAACCAGTCTACCACAGTTGATCCGCTGTGGATACTTCAAGATTCTGTGTCCAAACTCGAATGACCAACTATAGGTACCAGAATAACGGTGGGTACGTGACAGCAAACAAACACAGGCAGGACAGACAGAAGAATCAGAGTCTGGCTGCAGGCCTTGGCTATTTTCGGAGTCCAGAGGCTCCCTGGAGACATCCCTAATCTGGGCCCCATCTTTCCCTGAAAGATCAAGCTTTTTGATCTATGATTTGTTTGGCAAAAGGATAAAAATGGCCTCACTATTTAACACAAGAGGAGGTCTTGTTCTTCTGATTGCATAATGTTTTAGGAATCCTGTAGCACCTTGACCTTTATCATTTTCTGTGAGGAGGCTGGTGATACTGATGTAGGGAGCACTGTACTACCCCTGACTGGCTTTGAACCCACAGCAATTTTCTTGTTTCAGCCTAGCCAGTACTAGGATTTCAGTAGAGAACCACCACACTCAGACAGCTTTCATGACTGCCCTTTGAAGAATTGGCTGCAACCTGCCCTGCATAATTTATATAAGTATACATATTATATAAATATATTATAAATGTATATATAGATGTTACAAATATATTAATTTATATAATGTATACTTATATATATGAATTTTTTTCCCTCTAGACAGGGTTTCTTTGTGTAGCCCTGGCTTTCCTGGTACTCACTCTGTAGATCAGGCTGGCCTTGAACTCACAGAGATCTGCCTGCTTCTGCCTCCCGAGAGCTGAGATTAAAGGCTTGTGCCACCACCAGCTTGTATATATTCTTTAATTCAGTTTTACTTGCTTTATTGGATGCCTACTTAGAAAACCCTTCTCTTCCTCATGACTACTTCCCTAAGTTCTCTTGTAGAGCTTTTAGTTTGTAACTGTATCTGCAATTTGTTTGGAATATATCCCTTTGCTACCCAGAGTTGTTCGTCCAACACTGACATAAAACTTATTCAATTCTCAGAGGTGCAAAGAGCACCTTCCCTCTTCCATTTAGTCATTTATACTTTTGCGGCAGTGTGTGGTTATGGTGTATGGGGGGCCCTTTGGGCAGCTGGAGATTCTGTTCCTCAAGGCAAGGTCAGCGCACATTTTCCTGGGATGCTAATTCTGGCCTACATAGTGTTGGGCTCTGTACTATCTCCCCCCCCCCCCCCCCGTTTGAACATCCTGCAGGTTCCTGTTCGCACCTACACTACTCTGTGTTCCTTCGTTTTGCGTGGCCCCTCTGCTCTGCCCCCATGTCTTAAGTGATTCTGTCTCCTGTCCCCAAATGAGTCCCATGTAACTCTTCTGCGTGTCGGCCCCCCTCTCCCCTCCCCGCCTTCGACAAGACTACTTTATCCATGAGTCTCATGGTACCTCCCCTACGACCGTTTTCCCCCACCCTCCAATGCCTCGGGACTCCAGTCCGGTGCCCTCTCCTGTGCCGGAAGACCCCTCTGCCCTGAATCCACCCGGGTCCCGTGTGATCCCTCTGCTCAGCATCCCATCTTGTGTCCTGCGTGACCCCTTTGCCCCGCGTGACCTTTGCCTGGTATCCCACCTCACCCTGTGCCTCCCACGTGACATCTGCCATCTGTACCCCAAAGTATTCCACAGGACCCACCATCCTGTGCTTCCCATCCCCTTAAGATGCGTGTTCGGCCATGAATCCGTGTCCCCTCCAAATGCGACCTTCCTGAGCCCCTGGTGTTCAACTCCCCTCTGGCCAAGGTGACGCGGTCCCGCACCCTTGGGGACCTAGACCGCAGGCCGGCTCCCTGCGGGGCGGGGCGGGGCCTCGGAGGCGGAAGTGCCCGGGGCGCTGGCTGCAGGTCTGGCCGAGCCATGGGAGCTTCGGGCAGAGGCAGCGGCGGTGGCCGCAGAGGCGGCGGGGGCTGCCCGGGCGGGGGCGAGCGGCGCGGGACGCGGGCGGGGTAGCGCGGGCCGAGCGCGGAGCCATGGGCCGGCTTGGGGCCGGGGGCACGGCGCGGGCGGCAGCGGCTGGGCCGCTGCTGTTGCTGCTGCTGCTCCTCGCTCGGCCCCCGCCTGCCGCCGCCGGCGACAGCAAGAAGAGCGGTGAGCCCGCCCTGGCCTACCGCGCCATCCGAGGCGTGGGCCGGGGGCAGGGGGCGGGCGGGCGGTGGGCGCGGGGCGGATTGTGACTCACGGGGGGCACCTGTGCGCTCACCTGGCGCGGCGATGTAGCTATGTTCTCACTCTTGGTTGCGCCCCCTGCGGGGCGTCCGGGGCTAAAAAAAAAATCCCCACGTCCGCTTTTCTGTCCCCGGGCCCGCCGAGTTCGCTCACTTGGAGTGTACCCTTCCGGCGGCCCCTCTCCCCTGTGCTTGGGGGCGCGATTGTGGCACCTAAGAGCTGGGAGGTAGAGGAACTTATCAACGAATAGCCGAACCGTGGTGGTGCAAGGGCCATCGTTTGTTCGGGTAGAAGGGTAGAGCTGGAGAAAGTTGCCAGGACTCTGGACGAGGGGGTCTAGCCAACATTATGTTCCTTCCTATTCCAATCCTAGGAAGGTCACTCTTGATTACCGGCTTTGCTTCTCACCGGCTGTACTGCCAGCTGGCCCTAAAGAAGCTTGCTGACCAGAATGAATGTAACGCAAGGGTCCTTCCTCTAGGGGAGTTTCCCAGCGGCTCTTTGCACTTCTGCTCTCTAAGCCGGGACATCTTGGACTATGGTTTGCTAGACCTTTGGCCCTCTTGGCTCTGCTTGAGGCAGGACAGGGATTGACAGTGAAATTGACAGTGAGACTAGACATTTGGAAATGAGAAAGATGAGTACCTTTCCTTGTCCAGTATTACCTGAAATTCCCCAGTTCTTTGTGCCACTTGGTGTTCCTTAGACAGTTCCTGACGCTGACTCTTTCCACTTACCGTTTCCAGCCTCCCCACCCCCCGCCCAGCCCCCCACTTCTCTGGGATGTTGCTCCTCGGAACTCTTGTTGCTTTGAGGGCTGTTTCTTCTGGTTTCTGAACTTGGCACAGCTTGAAATGAAAGGCAACGTTCCCTAAAGACCTTCTGATAGATGGCTCCATACCACATCCTATTTGTTCCTCTTCCATAGTCCAAGAGGGTCATTGGCTAGGTGAGGGACAGGTGGCTCTGTGGCCATGGCCATGGCTGCTGCTTTTCTTCTTCTTCTTTTTTTTTTTTCCCCTGGTTTTTCGAGACAGGGTTTCTCTATGTAACAGTCCTGGCTGTCCTGGAACTCACTTTGTAGACCAGGCTAGCCTCGGAACTCAGAGATCCACCTGCGTCTGCCCCCCGCCCCCAGCTGCTATGGCTGCTTCTATCTGTGAGTGGGCAGTATCTCTGACACTTGCTAGGGTTTGGAAGGTGTGGGGCAGGATGCCTTCACTCAGGTTCCCAGGGAAATCTCAGGGATTTTCTTTTCCCACTCTCTACCCAACCTTATGCCCATGGGGGAGATGTCTGGAGCAGGCAGGAGCTTGTTCAACAGGCCCTCCCCATCCTTCCAACTATTGCTTGGGGCTCACCCTATCATGCCCATTCAACAAAATAGTTGGGTATTTCATCAAGCCTGGAGGGCTTAGACATGAGAGTTTGGTACCTGGTCTCAAGGCAACCTTGAGTAGGTCTCATCTAAGTATCCAAACATCACAGATGTCAGCTCTGTTCCAAGTGTCCTTCCTCACAAAGGCTTTATTCAGGGCAACCCAAGGGCTTTTCCCTTAGCAGGTTAAGTTGCACACTGTAGGGTGACCTCTCTCACCTGGCTTTCTCAGAGGTCACAGTCCTGGGGATGAGGAATCTGCTCTGCCTTAGCTCAGAGAGCAATATTCTGCCTCAGCTTGGAGAGCAATATTCTGCCTCACAGTTTTTTGGTTTTGTTTTTTTTCTTTTTTTTTTTTTTTTTCTGCTCTGTTATCCTTAGGGCATTTAGCAGCTCCTGGCGTTCAGGCCTCAACCTGGTGAATGGGACCTGCAGATACCGGAGAGCTTGGAATTCATTGAGGGAGCCTCACTCTGCCCTGCCCCCATGCCAGGCTTCTTTGCAGCTCCCTTAGCCTCCTTCCAGCAGGCTGCTATGTTTTCTCCAGGTGCCTCTGTTGGGAGGAGTCACATGACTGGCGAGAAAGCCAGCTGCTCACCTGACTCCCTCTCCCCTCTCCTGGGGGAACCAGGCAGGCACCACTTTCACGGTGGGGCAAAAGGAGCCTTCCTGAGTGGGAAGGATGCCAACAGTACTGTGTTTCTCTTAAAGCACTTTGTCACTCATTAACCACAAAGGGACAAGCAGTCTACCTTAGCCTATCCGTAGGGATACAGGCATCTAGAGAGGTAAGGGACACCCAAGACCATACAGGCACAAAGCCTGAGCTGGCACTAGGTATGGGGTAGGAGCTTGTAAGCTGAGGCAGGGCCTGGGCCATGTGGTGCCCTAGTCTGGGGGCTCTGGGTAGTTTATCTGCCTGGTCCTCTGCTTTGTCTTTGTACCACCTTGCATGGGTGTGTGCCCTGAGGGCAATTGGAAGTCTCACCCATTTGGAATAGAGAGGCCACCTGGCCCTTGGTTTTTGTTGTTGTTGTTTTGTTTTTTTGAGAGACAGGATTTCTCTGTGTAGCCCTGGCTGTCCTGAACCTTGCTTTGTAGGCCAGGCTGGCCTCTGCTTCCCAAGCTCTGGGATTAAAGGTGTGCTCCACCTCTGCCCATCCGTCCCTTGATTCTTATGACTGTCCAGGCTTCTGGACAGAAGCCCCTCATCATGGTCTTTTTCTGGGTAGGGATCTGGCTGTGTCCTAAGTCATAACAGGTTGGAGATGCAGCTACCTTCAGGACCAAGCCTCCCTCCCTGCCCATGTAGTTAGGAGATGTTCACAGGTGAGATGGGAGGGAGGAGCCTATGCCATGGTCCAGTGGTCAAGGCAGATAACTGCAGGGTGGGACCTCCTTCCTGACTAGCTCATGCTGTGTTTCAGTCTTCATCCCTTGGCCTGGATGCACCAGGATTAGTGCAAGGGATGGAAGTAACCAACAGACAGAAAGAGCTCATTGGCCCTGGGTAGGTCCACGTGAAGGTGGTGGGTGCTGGGGGGCCACTGGCTTCATTGTTTGCAAGTTGCTGTAGTGTGAGAAGGCAAAGTCCCTGGTGGTGAGTAGGCAGTGGCATCTAGGGAGAGGAGGCAGAGGGATAACTGCTCATCATTAGGAGAAACTTCTGATTACTGCAGACAACGTCTAGGTGCCGGAAGGCATTTTCTACCTTGGCTAAGATCAAAGTCCGATGATGACGTCCAGAGTGGGTCTAAGACTTGGTATCTAAGCAGCTTCTGTCTCCTGGGGCCTCATTCTTCCTGTCTGTCCCACCTAGCTGACTTGTTACCTTTTCCTTCCAGAGGCTGGGCTGGTGTCTGAGCACTTCTCACAGGCCCCACAGAAGCTGTCCTTCTACAGCTGGTATGGCAGCACCCGGCTCTTCCATTTCCGAGTGCCCCCAGACACAGTGCTGCTTCGCTGGCTGCTCCATGTGTCCCAGAGTGGTCCCTCATGCACCGACGTAGAAATCACAGTGTAGGTACCCAATAATTCTGTCCCTAGCACCCGTGCCTGGCTGAAACCCCATCCCTGACCCTTGACCTGATCTCTTCCAGGCATTTCCGCTACGGCGCCCCTCCTGTCATCAACCCGCTGGGCACTAGCTTTCCTGACAACACCTTGAGCCAGGCCTCTTTCCACATCAGGGCATTGTTGAGTACCATGCTATTGGGCAACACCTCTGTCAACATCTCCCACCCGGCCCCTGGGGACTGGTTCGTGGTTGCTCACCTCCCCCCCTCGTCCCAGAAGATCGAGGTGAAGGTGAGGGGGCTGACCTCCCGGGATGAAGGCCAAACCCCTTGATGCATGGAGGACCACCAGCCTCTTGTCCACCTCTGGGGCGGACCTTACTGTACTCTCATCTACCTGAGTCTGGATTCAACTCTGTCCCTGCATCCAAGATCTTCTCCTTTGGCCTATGTCCTGCATTCTCTGACCCCTATCACCCTCTGCCTTGTTCTCTCCCAGGGCTCTGTTCCTACCTGTGCCTACACCTTCCAGCCTGATATGCTGGCCCTGAGGGTGGTTGAAGTCTCCATCCTAGAGCCCGATGTTCCCCTCTCACAGACGCTGCTCTCCCACCCCAGCTACCTCAAGTGAGTGGAGATGGGGAAGTCCAGTCTGTCCCGTAGCCCCAACCTCTGGGTTCAGAGTGGGTGGTGCCACTGTCTCATCCTGCAGGGGAGAAGGCTGGACCTTAGAGGCAGGCTGGGAAGAAAGGCCGGAGACCTTCCTTCCCTAAGCAGATTAGAGAAGTGAGTTCACAGTATGAGCTAGTGAGTCTGAGTCACCACCTTGCCACAGGATCTTTGTCCCTGAATACACCCAGGAGCTTCGGTTGGAACTGCAGGGCTGTGTGTCCAGTGTGAGCCCCGGCTGCCCAGTGCGTCTCACAGTGGGTGCATCCACCCTGCCTAGAAACTTCCAAAAGGTGCTGAGTTGCACTGGCCTCACTCCGGCCTGCCATTTGCTACTGTCCTCACCACCCTGGGGCCGGTGGCTACAAGTGACAGTTGAGAGCCTGGCAGGACCTCACGTGTCAGTGGTCTTCACTGCTAAAGCTGCCTTTACAGGTGGGCCGCTTGGGAGGGAGGGGTGGGCTGGCTCTGCCTACCTTGCCCCAAATTCCAGGCTTTCCTCTGGCTGAGCCCCTTGTCCTCTTGACAGTGTGCAGGCCATGGAGTGTGACCTTCCATCGTCTTATGCAAAACAACCCAAACCAGAGCTATGACACCTCTGTGGGCCGGCTGCCCCAAAGCCCTGCCCACTGGGGACTGGGCAGGAGTAGAGGGGCAGGCAGTGGCCCCTTCTGTCTCCTGAACTATCCAGTCATGAGAGAAGACACGGACGTGGTGTCTGTACACTTCCAGCCCCTGAATGGGGCCTCCATGCTGGTGCATTCAAACATACCTTCTGTAATGCAGCTCCGTCTTGACACAGGCATGGACAGCGGGGGCTCTCTCATCATAATCCTGAGGGCTAACCAGGTATCCTCTGGAAGCCCACTGAAGCAGTCTACAGTCGCTTGTGACCTGGGCTTAACTCAGGGTACAGAGTCATTCAGCATTGAGACTGGAGTGGGGTGGCCCTTTCAGTCCATAGAGTGATACCAACAGCATTGGCCAGAAGGGGATCCATGGGAGGCTAGAAGGTTTCCTCTAGGGCAGCCCTGTCCCTGTCAGAAGTTATTGTAATTATATCTGTGCAAATAGGCAGGGGACTCGCTAGAACCAGAGACACTGGAGGAAGTTCAGGCCGTGATGAGCCCTGGGCCAGCAGGAGTCCTCCCACCCCCGCAAAAAATACCCAGCATCACTGAGCTAAAATACAAGGTGGGCAGGTGAGATACCTTTCTAGGGGGTGGCAATGGCTAACCTGCACCATTTCTCCTTCCAGACAGAGGTCACAAATGGCACCTTGGTAGCAGCTTGTGTGAATGCTGCCTCTCCCTTCCTCGGCTTCAACACCTCACTCAATTGCACCACAGGTATTCTGGGTAGACAGTTTTGGTGGAGAGACTGACTGGCCCCTCTAGCCACCTCTGACAGGCCCTCCCACCCCACGCAGCCTTCTTCCAGGGCTATCCCATGTTTATGAGTGCCTCCTCTCACGTGGCCAACCTCATCATTCCCTATCCGGAGACAGACAACTGGTACCTCTCCTTGCAGCTTGTATGCCCTGCGAGTTCTGAGTATGTAGCCTGGGCAACATGACATGGGCTGGTAGCAATGAAGGGAAGCGTCTGTGTGTTTGGAGGGGTTCTCCTTTCCTACCTGCCCACACCACACCTCACAACAGCACTAGTAGGGGGAATGAGTGTTTCAGCTGTTGGAGCCTGGAGGGCTGAGCTCTGGGCTTGGGGGTCCTAGTGGTGGAGTGACCGGCAGAGCTCCACAACCAGCCTTCTCAGGCCCTTCCTTTGCAGGGATTGTGAACAGGCTAAAGCTCATGTGGAGACCATCTTGTATCTGGTGCCCTGTTTGAATGACTGTGGGCCTTATGGCCAGTGCCTCCTGCTCCGTAGATACGGCTATCTGTATGCAGGCTGCAGCTGTAAAGCAGGTGAGCACGATCCTGCAGAGCAGAGCTCCCTCCTCCTCCTCCCCGTGCTCCCTCCTCCTCCCCGTGCTCCCCATGCTCCCTCCTCCTCCTCTCCGTGCTCCCCATGCTCCCTCCTACTCCTCTCCGTGCTCCCCATGCTTCTCGCGACCTCCCCCCACACCCCTCCAGGCATACAGGCACTGAGGCATTTGCAGGGGAGGCGTTGCCGCCTGACCCTGCCATTGCTTGCATCCTGCCTGCCCTTGCTTGACTGCCCATACCCACACGGGCCCTACAACGGTTTCCCTTGCCCGTACTAGTCCATGCCTATGTCCAACTGTTCACACTTTTTTCGTGACTGCATGCTGATCCACATTTTTCATGGCAGTTTCTACATAGTCACACTTGCTCTCATCTGTCCATGCTTGCCACATTTGTCCCTACATGTCCACGTATTTCTATATCTGTCCCTACCAACTCATATCTATTCATCCCTGCCCCTACCTACACATACTTGTTCACATACCTTTCTCCAAGCTCATGCCCGCTCACAGCAGGGCATACTTGCCCACACGTGCCCATATCTACGCACACCTGTCCACACCTGTTTCCCACTGCCCGTGACTGCCCACACCAGCTGTGCTTATCCTTACCCTCCACACCTGCCCACACCCGCTGTGAGTGCCCATACTTGACCAGACTTCCCCATGTCTACATGCTTCTTCCACATTGGTCCCAAACTGCCCACAGCTGTCCCCTCTTGCCCATGCCTGCCCACCACTTACCTATGCCAGTTTCTATCAGTACCAATTTCCTCCTGCCACACCTGTGGATTTCATTAGGCTTGTCTATACAGCCTCCCTCTGGGTGAGGGAGGGGCCTGCGGGTTCAGAAGCCTCCTCTCTGCCTCCAGCACACGGTAGGTGTTGTGTGGCCCCCTAGGTTGGCGCGGGTGGAGCTGCACAGACAACAGCACAGCCCAGACTGTGGCCCAGCAGAAGGCCGCAGCGCTGCTGCTCACACTCAGCAACCTCATGTTCCTGGCCCCCATCGCGGTGTCAGTACAGCGCTCCTTCCTGGTCGAGGCCTCCGTCTACTTTTACACCATGTTCTTCTCCACGGTAGGGCTGGCCCTGATCCCTTCGGGAACCTTGGGTGGGGAGGTCAGGGCCGCTGCTCACTGCTTCTCGCCTCACAGTTCTACCACGCCTGTGACCAGCCGGGGGAGGCGGTGTTGTGCATCCTCAGCTATGACACGCTTCAGTACTGCGACTTTCTGGGCTCTGGGGCGTCCACCTGGGTGACGATTCTTTGCATGGCCCGTCTGAAGACAATCCTGAAACAGGTGAGTGGCCTCCGATGCCAAGTCTGGGCTCCAGGGAAGCAGAGGCCCTCACATACAGAGTGTGGAGTGGCGAAGAGGGATAAAACAGAAAGGGGTGGGTATCAAATCTTACATGATAACTAGCCATTCTTGGAGGAAGTCATAGGAAGCTGTGAAGGAAAGGTGTGGTCATCAGAGGGCTCCAGGAAGGCAGATGGGGGTCCAGGACCCTAATCTCAACAAGGAGCCAGGCCAGGCCTCCCTGAGAAGCCTCAACCATGCCCCTGGGTTCCTTGTCCTAGGACACTCTGGGGACTTACACAGCAGCTGGATAGTGGAGATGACTCTTTGGTGCTTGTGAACTATGTCCTCTGTCTGCAGGCTGGGTACTACTTATTAGGGGCACGTTTAGAAGCTCCATGATTATATAAAAAAGTAGGTGAGGAAAATTCTGGAGAATCCTGTGGGCTGAATGTTAAGGGTATGAACTTGCAGGCTGTGGGGAGATGTGCTGATGGACTCAGGGTATGGGATCCCCTCCAAGGCAGCATCCAAGGCCATCCTGATGAGAGACCCTGGAAGACTTGGTGTGCAGGATCATGTAGATGTGTACAACACTGCCCATTAGAAGTGGGTATCATCACCTAGTCCTTAAGGTTCTTCTGCGTTCACCTTCGGACACAGTAAAGGGGCTAGAGGGAGGACACTTCCCTCCCAGATGGTTGAGCAGGAATGGTCAAAATCTGCCAATAATTCCAAGAGGAGCTGGCAGATGTGCCAGAATCGTGGGAAACTGATAATGGGTACCTAGCATACCTGGCCACCAGTACCTGTTGTGTCTTGTGCCATCACAGGTGATTCTAGCCAAAGGCTCCCATGACCCCACAAACCATCCCTGTGTCTCTGCCAGATCCTGTTTGTCCTGGGCACACTGGTCATCGCCATGTCCTTGCAGATGGATCGCAGAGGCATCTGGAACTTGATGGGACCCTGCCTCTTTGCCTTTGTGATCATGGCCTCCATGTGGGTAAGGAACAGAGCACATAGGTTCTCTTGTTTAGACTCAGGGAGAAGAGAGCCAGGCCCTTAATTCTGGTTATGATCCCAGTTTTGCTGGAAGGGCTCCAAAACTCCACATCTGCTCAGAGTCAGTAGAGCCACCCATAGACCCCCAGTATAGCCATGTGCCTGAGGTCTTAGCCATGAGTCCATGTGTTGCCTAGATCTAGAGACACCCCTTAGCCCCGTGAAACTGTAGTTGCACTTGGCTGGCACTGACATTCATGTGGCCGTTCACTCCAGATGTACCGCTGTGGGCACCGGCGTCAGTGTTACCCTACCTCGTGGCAGCGCTGGGTCTTCTACCTCCTGCCTGGCATCTCCATGGCTGCTGTAGGCATCACCATCTATACTTCCATGATGACCAGTGAAAACTACTACTACACGCACAGCATTTGGCACATCCTGTTGGCTGGCAGTGCAGCTTTCCTTTTGCCACCACGAGAGGAGCAGGCTGAGTCCTGGCCCTGCTTGCAGAAGTTCCCCTGTCAGTACCAGATCTGCAGGAACGATCGGGATGAGTTGTACACAGTGACATGATGTGGCTGCCTCAAGGACACCTGATACTCTGATGACCTCTTCGTCTAGGACAGGAACAAAGAGAGGTGCCTATCTAGCCCCAGCCAGGTTTCCATCTGAATAAAATTGTCCTGCGACCCTTGGCTTCTTTCTCCAGAGGAGAGGACTCCACCCCAAAATCTTTGTGGCTGCTGCCCGTGTCCTCTGTAGGTCTCAGCTGGAGGCCACAGGTACCATGTGTGGACAGATTGATATGTTATGGTTGAAGATAGAGATAAGGGATCCCTGTTTCCCCATTCATTTGTGAAGCTGTGATTTGAGACCTACAAGGCAAGGAATCCTCTGAGTCCACAGAGCCCACTGTCCCTGACCGCATGTACCATCCTGCCTTGGCATGGGGATGCCTTGTTGCTGCAGTTACTGTGGTAGAGTTCAAAAGCTGCTAAGAACCTGGGGTGCCATGCATTATCCCTCCTTCTCTGTTGGAGTCACAGATCCTGGGAAGAGCCCGGAGTAGCAGGCTGCTCAGCTGTGTGAGGTGTGGCCCCAGAAGGCACACACTGCCGTACTGGTGTGCCCTCCTCATCCTAAAGGTCCTAGGCCCTAGTCTAGTGAGCAGTCTTTTGTGTTGGCTCTAGGCCCTAGGATGCTGACCCCCCCTACTGGATCAGCTGAGGCTTGAGGTGGCTTCTGGAGCCCAGTCTTACTGGTGCCTCCTGGGAGCTCTGAGCTGATTGGCGCAGTGCTGCCCTGTCCCACTATGAGGCCCAACTGCTCTGTGGCCTTGGAGCCTTTTTTCTTGGTTTTGTCCAGGATTTGGGCTTTCTGGGCCACTCCCCCAGCTACTGACACCCTTTATTTGGCCACCAAAGCACACTTCAATCCCTGAAAGGGGAAACATGTATATACTGTTGCGGGGAGGTGATAAAATGTTAAACTGTTCTATGAAGGCATATTTTTATGTAATTGATGAATTTAATATTCTACAATGATTTTTCAAGCCAAATGAGTGTTTTATTTATTTTTTTTTTCTTGCGTCCCTGGAGGGAAAGGGAGTCTAGACTAAGGTTGGCTGTCCCTAACAGGCCTATCAAAGCCTCTGGGGAACTCCTGGGCTGCACTTGGTAGACGGTGCCTTGAACCATTGCATTCTCAGATAATTTTCCACGGTCCCTAAAGAAGGCGGAGGCAAGGGGATTGTTTTAGACGGATAGGCGTTCCTACCAATCGGCAGTGAGCAAAGGTGCACGTTCGGTGACGCCTTCTGGTTCCGGTTCCGGTTCCGGCAGGCGCGGGCGCGCAACTCCGGGAGATAGAGGGTCGCGAGATGCCTCTGCACAAGTATCCTGTGTACCTGTGGCAGAAGCTGCGGCTGCGGCGAGGCATCTACGCGCGTTTGCCCGCCCACTTCTTGCGCTCGCTGGAAGAAGAACGAACGCCGAGCCCGGTACACTACAAACCTCACGGGGCCAAGTTCAAGATCAACCCCAAGAACGGGCAGCGCGAGCGCGTTGAGGACGTACCCATTCCAATTTACTACCCTCCAGAGTCCCAGCAGGGGCTCTGGGGTGGAGAGGGCCTGATTTTGGGCTACAGATATGCCAACAATGACAAGGTGGGTGCGGGCCATCTCGGCGGTTCTGCATGCTTTATTGGGCAGGCTCTGCTCCGGGCGCTGCGGACCAACTGCGTGGTTGACACAAGCGTTCGGTTTACGAAGTATGCTAACAAGTGGAGCGGCGAGGATCTGGAAAACTCCAATGGCAAAGTCTAGTGGGGTCCTGAAGTGGGGTGGTCCTGGTCAGGTAGCCATCAAAAGTAAGAATGAAGTGGGGCTGTGATGGAGCAGGGTGATAGAGTGTTTTCCTAGCTTATTTAAGATCTTGGGTTCAAATCCCTAGCACCACAGAGAAAAGAAAGGAAGGATAGATTTGAGGCTTGTGCTGAAGAGGAGGGAGAGGTGAGATCTGGTTGTCACCTGCCAGTTTCTATAAGCCTTTGCCTAATTCTTGTGACAGGACCTTTGCTCCTCCCACATAAAACTGATAAAGACTGAGATGATGCTTGGATTCAGGCAGCTTCCAAGGTGCAGAGCCTGGAATCGATCATTCTGGTGGAATGCTGCTCCTAGCCAAATGTGGGAGGAGAGCGTTTCAGGCCTTCCAGGATGCCACTTGCTTGCCTGTGGCTGCTGGGTTTCAATTGTGCCAGCATCTGGAACACATGCCGGCAACATGAGGGCTAGCCTGAGAGAAGCAGACACCTATGTGGGCATCCAGGTCCAGCGTCCGTGGAGCCTCTGAGAAAGGAAGAGGGCAAGCCTTACATAGCCCAGCTCTCAGGAAGAAGCTTTGGGGGCCACTTGATCTGTAGGGACATACCCCAGCAGTCAACAGGTCTCTCTTGCACACTCAGCTCTCGGCAAGAGTGAAGAAGGTGTGGAAGCCTCAGCTGTTTACTCGGGAGCTTTACAGTGAAATCCTGGACAAGAAGTTCACTGTGACTGTGACCATGAGGACCCTGGATCTCATTGATGAGGCCTACGGGTTTGACTTCTATATTCTCAAGGCAAGCAGGGGTTAGTGCACTACAGGGTCTTGCCAATCAAAGGAGGTGCAAAGCAGCACTTCATGGGGCCGGGGGAGTGGGGGCAGTACATAACACCCAGGGTAGCCATTACAAGCCTTAGCAAAACACAATGGGACTGAGTCCTCTTTGGTGCAGCCCCAGTGGAAGCTTTTTGCCTTTAGAAAGGTCACTTGTGAACGGTCTAGCCACTGATTACCCTTCCCTGGGGATTGCCTTGGGCTTGACCCACATAGACTTGTATGCTGGTGCTGATCCCAATGCCTGGTCTGCTCTGGTCTAGCTTAGGGGTACCAGCTGAAGAGGAACCTCCAGGGTCAGCTGATGGGGTGGGTGGGACCCTGCTGTAGCACCTGGCCCTATGTGAATCTTCTGCCAGACCCCAAAGGAAGACCTGTGTTCCAAGTTTGGCATGGACCTGAAGCGAGGGATGCTTCTGAGGCTTGCTCGCCAGGACCCCCAGCTACATCCTGATGACCCTGAACGGAGAGCAGCCATCTATGACAAGTACAAGGTGAGAGTTTCCCCATCCCGCTTGCTGCTGGAGGCTTCTGGCCTGGCCCTGTACCTCACCGACGCTTTCTGCTGCTTGCTCAGAGTTTTGTCATCCCGGAGGCAGAGGCTGAGTGGGTTGGCCTGACGCTGGAGGAGGCTGTGGAGAAACAGAGACTTCTGGAGGAAAAGGTGAGCACCTGTGAACCGGCCACTGAGGTTGAGTAATGGGGGGCTGCTTTGGTAAGAGACTAGCATTTGGGGACTGCCACACCTAAATACTGCTATACGTTTGGTTCCTGCCACTTTGAAGAAGCATGTTATTTTTCCTCTCTTGAGGTCCTTCCCTCTTCCCCTGAATGCTTAGGGACCTTTGGCACTAGGTGTTTACTTGGCCACCCAGCATCCCCTAGGATCTTTCTTTTGTGTCTGTGTCCCAGAATAGTCTAGAGCCTGTAGTGGCCGCCAGTATAGGGAAGCCAGAGGAAGGCGTGTGACTCTTGGTGTCCAAGAGAAAGCAATCCTGTTCTGGTGGTTAGGTTCTGCCCTCCGGGATGCCAAGCAGTCTCTTTTGTTTTGTTTTTGTTTCTCCAAGACTGGGTTTCTCTGGGTAGCCCTGGCTGTCCTGGAACGCAGTCTTATGTGAGTCTGCCCATCCCTGGCTCTTCCAAACCCCATGTTCTCTCCATGTTTAGTTAGAAGCAGCTGGCTCCCACCCTCCCTAGAGCTCCATCTCTGGGCTACACTGAGCCTGACCATGACCTCTCCCCTTCAGGACCCTGTACCCCTGTTCAAGGTCTACGTAGAGGAGCTGGTCCAGCGGCTTCAGGAGCAGGTTCTGTCCAGCCCAGCAGTGGTGCAGAAGAGAACTGGTGACCACGCCTGATCCCCGGGCTCAGCCTCCCCTGTGGGCTTTTAGCACTGTGGACACAGTTGGGGTGGGCACGAGGACACCTGTGGGCAGTGGGCGAACCCTGCTTTGCATGTGCTGACCACACAGCTCCTGTAGTAGACTTTTCAGAGAACCCTTCTGTGCCAGGACTCTCGGAGGTCTGGAGCAGAGCGGATGCCTGTCCAAGCTGGTCAAGTACTTACAGCATTAGAGTTCTTGGGCTGGAATAAGTAAAGTCCGAGGCAGTCTGAGCCACGGGAAAGTGTACTGGTTTGCCTGGGAGTCTGCAATCCTTCTGCGTGTTCTTGGCCTGGTCATTCCCCTGTCACAGAAACCCAGGTGAACTATTTGCACTGTCCAGCTGTAGCCGCTGGCCCTGCTGAGCTGTGGAGGCTGATGTCCCCTTTGTTGCTTAACTTGCTTAGAGAAGAGGTCCCTCATGGTGGAGGCATCAAGGGTACAGCAAGATGGAGCTTCTTCCCTGCCAGTGTACATTCCTATTTGTTGTGGAATGTTCTCCAGGGCAGAGGAAGGGAGCCTGGGGCCTGGCTCAGATCTGTGCAGTATGCCCTGCAGAGCTAAAGCAGGAAAGCTTCCTGGGTCTAGGGCTTCTGTCAGCATCTGCCCTGCGATGGGGCCACATGGACTTAAAGGCCATGACTTCAGCACCCCCATCCTTAACTGCTCCCCTCTACCTTGTGGTTAGGGCTGTGGCTTGAGGTAGGAAGGCAGGCCAATGACCTTGGGGCCTCTTTTGCCGAGAGCTAGTGTCTCAGAGGCATCAGCACTGAAACCTATTCCTTTCTCTGGAGAGGACAGGGAGCGTCTCCCTAGCTGTGTGTGGAGGAAGATGAGGTGGTAGTGGGAGCTGAGTTCCCAGAGCCCCACACCTGGCTGGTATAAATGGGAGCATTAGCTACCTGCTTGACCGGGAACTGGCCTGGCCACAGAGTGTGGACAGTGGGATCCTCTGAGGGGGAGCAATAGGAGTGCCCATGCTTGGTTGTGTTTATGATGGCCAATCCAAAGCTGCGTGGAGCCATTCTGCCAGTGTGGCAGGGCTCACACAGATCCCTGAGGATGGGGGCTTGCCTCGGGGTGTTCCTCAGGCTTTGCTGTCTGTTCTGGCCTCTCCGCCCTGCAGGGCTTGCACTATTCTTGCACTGTGTGTAATTCTTAGGTTCACAATTTTAAATGACTTCTACTTAGTGTGCGTGTGTGCTTACACATGCCGTGGCATCCATGTGGAGGTCAGGGGACAACTTGTGGGAGCTGATTCTTTGCCTTTTACCATGTGGGTTCCAGGGATCAAAGGACAGTAAGCTTAATGGCAAGTGTCTTTACTGGCTCAGCCATCTTGATGACTGTAATTAAAAAAATTTTTTACCAGCTGGGCAGTGGTGACACATGCTTTCAATCCTAGTACTTGGGAGGCAGAGGCAGGCAGATCTCTGTGAGTTGGAGGCCAGCCTGGTCTACAGAGCTAGTTCCAGGACAGCCAGGGCTACAAAAGGAAACCCTGTCTCAATTTTTTTTTTTTTTTTTTTTTTTTTTTTTTTTTTTTTTGGTTTTTCGAGACAGGTTTTCTCTGTGTAGCTTTGCGCCTGTCCTGGAACTCACTTGGTAGCCCAGGCTGGCCTCGAACTCACAGAGATCCGCCTGGCTCTGCCTCCCGAGTGCTGGGATTAAAGGCGTGCGCCACCACCGCCCGGCCTTTTTTTTTTTTTTTTTTTTATTAACCTAAAGCAAACAATACTCGGTCATCTATTGTCTTGGTGGACTCACAAGGCTTTGCCTAGTAGTTTAAATCATAGGGTTCCCACATCACTGGCTTTAAATTCGAGTCTTAAATTTAAACCAATCTCTTCCAGCTAGGTCTAGGACCTTGTTGGGATGTGTAATAGTTATCCTGACTGTCTGGCTTGGTGCAGCTAGCTACCTGTTTGATTATCTATCTCCTTTCTCACTGCCAAGGCGTGGGTCAAGCAGGACCTGTGCAGAGTTTTTTGTTGTTGCTTATTCTTTTGGAGATGAGGTCCCACTGCATAGCCTCGGCTGGCCTTGAACTCCAGATCTTCATGTCCTGTCTCTCCCAAGGGCTGGAATTATACATGTACACCCTTAGGCTTGGCTAGGTCCTGTAGGATTTCTTGTGTCACTTTCCTGGGGCCTCAAGAGACCTGTGGCTGCCTTGAGAGATATAGTCAGAACAGGCCAGGTTGTGGTTCTGGACCAGGGATTGGGGGTTACTGAGAAATTGCTCAGGGTGGCCATTGGTGTGGCTGCCAGTGACAGGTGCTGAGTATGGCCTGAGCAAGTCACTGCTAGTCACTACTGCTGAAATCTGAGGTGGTTTCATTTTCTAATAGAAGACCAGGCAGAACTGAGGTACACTCTGGTGTGGCCCTGGCCCAGGTTCAAGAATAGCCCCATTCTAGTGGAATGTGGTATTTGTTCTTTGTTCCATCTTCACGAATACAATTTGGTTTTTTTGGTTTTGGTTTTGGTTTTTTTGTTTTGTTTTGTTTTGAGACAGGGTCTCACTTTAGCCCAGGAAGGCTTTGAACTTGAGGCAAGCTTAATGCCTCACCCTCTTGAGTTTTGGGATTATAGATGTTAGATGTGAGCCACACCCAACTTCAGAAACATTTTGAGTCAGAAAACTGTGATGTTCCATAGTAAATGATTAGCTTATCTCCTCCTCCAGTAAAATGACTCAGGTCAGAGGTAGATCCCAAACAGACCATCTATACACTGTGCTGTCTTCTGGGTGTGGTGAGGGGGTCCCAGCTTGCAGAGTGGGGGTGGGGTAACACTGAGTGTCTCTGCTCACACATGCATGCACATACACACTGAGGCAAGCCTGTGTTAATAATCCACACCACACATGGAATAGGAACTGAGGTGCAAGCTGTGGCCACCTGTCTGGGACATCACTCTCTGCCTGTTTCCTTGCCTGCCGTGAATCCTAAGCCTCCGTCCACTCCAGCTGCCTTAGCCAGCCTCCCTAGTTCTTTCTGGGCCCCGTGAACCAACCTGTCCATCTGCTGTGTGTCTCAGAGCCTGCACTGGGGGTGTGTACTAAGATCAACCTGCAGAAGGCAGAAAGAACTCCTCGTTTTATGACAACGGTCTGAGGTCAGCCTTAATGTCGAAAGGACTGTCGCCGGCTGTGGGGACAAGGGTGGGAGGCTGTGTCGTTGCTGCTGTGATTCCTCATTGCTGCTCTTCCTGCACATTGGGGCTGGGCAGTGGAGACCTGAGAAGCTGTGACTTCATCATTCCATTTAGAAGTGAGACCAAGGCCCGAACGGGTCTCTGCCACTCACAGGGGAGATGACATGAGATGGCTTGTAGGTCCAGCTCAGAGCTCTACCTGACTTGTCTGAGAGTCTCACCTATATGCTGAATCCTAAATAATAGAGGTATTTAGGGAGGTAGGGGTGGGTGGGCAGGCCCTGAGGGGTTGCGCAGGCACCTTTGACCCTGTTCTGAGCCCAGGGAACCACTAGAGGTCAACTCTCAGCTCACTCCTCCCTGTGCATGGCAGTCTACCTGCCTTGGTCTGTGTTAACACCGTGGTTTCCTGGCAGTTTGAACCCTTCCTGCTAACAGAGGTTACCCAGGTCTTCTGTCCATTCTGAGCCATCCTAAGCTGGATCCCTGGGCTGGAAGAGCTCAGCCAGCAGGAGGAGCTCCACATCCCCCCCAGCTCACCAGCTACAGCTCATTCCAACCTCTCTAAGTTCACACTGTGCTCTAGAATGGCCCGGGCTGCCATTCCCACCGGTACCCTGCCCATGGATGAGACTTGTCCACTGGTGGTCTCCAACATGGTAAGGCGACCCCTCAAGTTGAGGTGCTGTCCTGTGTCAGCAGCTCGGGAGGCACTAGGCCTGGCTAGTGCGAAGCAGTTGAGCCATACTGGGGCTGGTCACTGAGTCACCATTTCAAGCTTGGATCCCTAAGACCAGCCTGCTTATTCTCACCTTCTTTGGAGTAAGAACCCCTGGAGCATGTTTCAGGTTCTCTTGGCTCTGTGGTCCCTCTAGTCTTGGCAAGGCACTCTTCATTGGCCACTTAGGTTCCTGGGATGTGCCAGGTTCTGGCCTTCTGTAAGGACCTAGAGAATCATACCTGTTCCTGGAAGCCCTGAGGGTGCTTATCAAGACATTATGTCCAGCAGGTGTGGTCTGGTCTGGTCTTAGGAAGTGAGATGCTGTCTGGAACTCTCAGGCCTTTGCAGGGTTCTTGACCAGGAAGTGCTGTTCCCAGGGGCGTTTGAACAGACTGGGCTGTTTCTGAATGTCACAGAACTGGGATGTTGGTGGCTTCAAGGTTGCTCGAAGGCCTGTAACCAGGAGGGGCAGTTTATGGAGGGATGACACGTCATACTCTTGCTGAGACTCTCTGTTCTTGGTATATCCTGGAATGTCTTGCTGGGGACTGATGCTAGTTGGCTCTGGAGGTACAGTGTTTTCCAGAAGGCCCTGTACCCAGAGATGGGTTCCAGAATTTTGCCAAGTTGGGGACCCAAGGTTCACAGAGAGCAGAACTATACTCAGGGCCATGGGAGGTTCCTGGCATCAGGGACATTACAGTAAGAATGTAGAGTGCTTTGTGAGCAGAGACAATGTTGACGAACTTCCATCCGAGGTAGGCTGAAAGCTTGGCTCTTCCGACTTGGGTTTGGGTGGGGTTTCTCCCTGTTCTTTCCCCCACTGCCCACCATTCCCCACTCCTCACTGTTTTTCACCAGTGTAGGCCTGGCCTCCAGCCCCTGGGGCAAGCCTGACCTGAAGTCCTTTTTTCAGCGGGGGCTCCAAAGATCATTATTTCTATCTCAGCCAGGAAATCAAGTAGGACATGTTACATCTCAGGAAAGGCCACGAGGTGGACAGAGACCCCCCTCACATGGGACATGTATGAAACATACAACAAAAATGTCTAATAGCTAGTGTGGGGCCTGTTACTGTGTAGCCACTGCCAATGCCCCTCTGAAGGGACACTGGCATGGGGCCACGGGCAGCACTGCCTGCGCCCTCCGCAGATAGGAGTGGCTTGGGGGGTGGCGGTGTCTAAAGGGGCTGGTTGCCATGGCTACCATAGGGTTCTGAGGCCCGTCATCTGGTCCCTGCCTCAGCCAATAGGCGGCAGGAGCCTGAGCTGCAGCCTAGAGTCACGCTTCTGCCTCCCAGCCACACAGTGGCCAAGAGCAGGGACCCGCTTCCTGGAGTGGCTGAAAGTGCTCGGACGGACAGCCAAGCCCATCATGGCGGACAGCGGGACAGTGGGGCGCAATCAGGCACTTGGAGCCAGGCAGGTGAGGTAAGCCAGGCGGGTGGCCAGATGGATGGAAGAATGGGTGGACAGGTGGATGTCGGTGGTCCTTGTAGCCCATTGTTCTTGTGGTTGTGGCCGTGCCCTCAGCCCACCCCACCCTCAGCACACACACACTCTCCCACCGAACCTTCACTTTGGATCCTCACCCCACATGGTCCGTAGAAGGGTCAAGGGAGGAGACAAAAGAAAGACTATGAGCAGAATGGAGCCACACCACACCACCACGGGCCCGAAAACCGCCTTGGTTGGTCTCTCATGTCAGATTCTACACAGAGGCGGCTTCAAAGACCCCCTGACTAGCCCAGGCCCTTGGTGTCCTGACCACCATGCCTGGGCTCGGCGACAAGCCGCCTCAAATCGGCACGGTTTAAGGAGCATTTTTTTTTTCAATAAGGGGGGAAAAAAAGAAGCAACAGAAAAAAAATGTCCACCTATAACAGGGGGAGCAGCCAGCCCAGATAGATCAGAAGCGCCAAATCCCATTACTCGGGACTTCAGAGCACAGCCCTGCACAGGCAGCTGCGATTAAGAGCTTGTCAATGGAGTCCCCTTCGGAGATCAAAGGGGCATGCCTGTGAGTGTGTGTGTGTGTGTGTGTGTGTGTGTGTGTGTGTGTGTGTACATGTGTGTGCATATGTGTGTAGGAGCACATGCTGTGGGGTGACAGTGGAGGGGCCGTGTGCCACAGCACAGAAGAGCCTGGTGTATCACCTGCCTCCTGTGGCCACCCTCCATGTTGCTTCTGTCCTTGCTGCTATGTGTGACATGCGTGCATGCATTGGGGGCCAGGCTGGGCACAGGAGAGGGCTGGTCCCCAATATATCCTCTGGAAGGCAGTCCTGGCTAGACCTAGTTCCCATTTCTGGGCCTTTTACTTGCATCCTGTCCCTTCCCCAGAGTCTACCCCGAGGAGCCTGTAGGAACTGGGAAGGCATACTGGGCCATGGGCAATGCTAGGTGTGAGGATGGGCTGTGTCTGTGTATATAACTACTGCAACCAGGTCCTGCTGTCCATAGGCCATGAGCTCTCAGCTGGCCTGGTAAATGCATCCTGGGGGTTGAAAGCTGCTGTCGATGTGATTGGTAGGTTGTTAGGTAAACTCTGAGAAGCAAATCTTTTAATCCACTGTGGCTAATCCAGTGCACTTTTGTTTGCCAAGACAGATTCTGCAGCAACAAAGGGGCTGGAGGGACCCCAGCATACATAATCACATACTTAGAACTTGGCCGCGGCTGCCCACAGGGTTCCTAGGCAGCAGAGAGAGACATCTCAGGACAGCAGTGGAGTGGGTGGGTAGTTGGAGGAGGGGCCTAAGTGGGCTGAAGGTGTGGGCCAGTAGCCTCACTAGGTGATACTTTTTCACCTGCCAGGATGTCCCCTGGCCACCTGCTGGATGGGTGGCTGTCAGTCACTGGAACTGTGCAAGTTTGTGGGGACAACTGAGCTGAGTCAGACAGAAGAAAAACCAATACCCAAGGCAGGGTGCAAGAGTGCCTGGGACGCAGAGAGGCTTGCGAAGATGTAATGGGAAGCTCAGAGGGATGAAACATGACATCAGGGAGGGAGCAGAAGGAGGAAGGTGACAGGGCAGCAGGAGGGCAGGTGTGCCCAGTATAGGAAGAGGAAGTGGCCTGAGGCTGTATGAGGAAGTATGAATGAACACCCTCAGATTATCTTCAGGGCCTGGCACACTCACGAGGGAGAACATTACCTAGTCTGGGAAAATGGTGCTGAGGTTAGGGAGCACCAGGCTCCTTCCTCTTTCTAAGATGTATACTAGGTCATAACCATGGACTTTCTCCAGCTGCCCAATTTTGTCCATGCAGAGTTGTGCATGGAGCACTGAGGGGTCCTCATTTTGTCAAGGACATTCTACTCAGACACAGTAGGTAATCAGGTCTCCAGAGTGACTGGTGTCATTCCCTCTTGTTCCTGAAGTTCCCTGGTTGGGGGAGGTGTTGGGCTTGGTGGCAGGCTGCCTTCCCCTACTGGGTCCTAGGGCTGGGATATCAAGAAGAGCTAACTTAGACTTCCCACCCTCCATGCCTGACTGCTGACCCTAATCTACTTGCCTGTTACCTTGGTGTCTACATTCCCTTTTTCCCAGATGTCCCCAGACAAGTCCTGAGGTGCTAGAGCTCTTCAGAACAGCAGTGTGATGACTCCCCTTAAGACAGTAGGGAGTCAGATCCCAATAAGATGTGGATAGTATCCTGGGAGGGGTTTACTTCTTGGGGTCCACTTATGTGAAGAACTGGCCCAGCACCACCTTCATGCCTGTTTCCACTACTTTCCTGCCTTACTGGTTCTTGACTCCTGGAAGCTGCCAGGGAAATGGTGTGCTGGGCCAGGTCTGCTGGATGGAGGACATGGCTGTGGGTACCTCTGGAGTCTAACCCAGAGGGCACAAGCAGTGACCACATTGCCCATCTCTGAAGAGACCATGCTAGCAAGGCCGAGTAATTCATTCTCTACTCATCTGGGGATGGGTGCTCCTTACCTGGGAGGGGAGGGCAGATATTCAGCTGAAATAGCATTCTGAGCAGGAGCCATCAGAACCTTCCATTGCAATGGTGGCTGGCATATAACCCATTATTTAGTGTGTCAACAGTGGTTAACACTGAAGCCATGTTGAACCATATCATTTAGGACATTTGTGCTCCTGTTGGGCAAAATGCAAACAGCAGGAGTAAGGCAACATGCCAGCTCAGAACTCTCATCACCAGGAGTGATACAAGAGGAGGAAGAACTTGGGGCCAGCAAAGTGGCTCAGCAGGTAAAGGAGCTTGCTGCTGATACTGATGGCCAGAGTTCAATTCCCAGGACCTACATGTGGAAGAAGAAAACCCAAAGTTGTACTTTGACTTCTACATATGGGCCCTGTCCATCTTATGCATACACACCATAAACAAACAAACAAGTCAAGGGTCATGCCAGAGTTAAGGCTTCCTGAGGCCCTGGACTAGAATGAGCACAGGAACACACAGCTAATGCTGCCCATGAGCAGTTGCATCCTCCAGGGGCTCACTTGGCAATTATGTTGTTCCTATGGCTTATTATACATTGATGTCAACTGGAAGGTGGCAGCCACTGCAGAGTTGAGGCTTCCATGTGATTGTAATGGTAATGTTACTGTAGCACATCCATGAAAAATACAGAATGAAGAAAAACTCATGCTGGGCATACTGGCACCTTCACTCCTGTGTTTCTAGCACTTGGAAAGCTTGGGCAGAAGAATCACAAGTTCAAGGCCAGCCTGAGCTATACAGCGAGACTCTTTTGGACGGGATATGGGGGGAACCCTTTGATAATTCTGCTTCCTACCAGGGGCCTGTTTGAGTCTTCTTTGATAGGCTCTTATTCCTCCTGCCTTCATAGATACATGTTATGTGACACAAAAATTGGCATCTGTATTTGTGGCATTGTGGCTTTGCTCCTCATGGCTGTGTCTCAAACTCCTTGCCCTCCATTAGGCAGAGAGGCCCTGGCCACCCCACCTCCACCCTCAGACTCCCAACCCCAATCTTAGAAATGGTGGAAAAAAGATGTGTGGGATGAGGCAGAGGCCAGGATTGGGCTTATGGCAGGAAAGCCGCTGACCAACAAGAGAGGGAACTGGGCCACCCAAGTCCTGAGTATTCTGAGCCACTTTGGGTATAGATGCCTTGTTCCAGAACTGGACATAAACCATTTAAGACCACAAGTCTTCCCTCTCTCCTGAGAACTCAGTTGCCACCCACCACTACCTGCTCTACCTTTGCACTGGGTGGGGGGAGGGACAGACAACCAGAAACTAGCTGAGCCTGAGACTCCCTCCCCTCTTCCCCCAGAATTGGGGATGGTCCCTTCTTGTCCTTTCTTCCTGAGCTGGGGCATGGACAGTGGCCATTCATTTCTGTAGTTGGCCTTGTGCTGTGGATTTTCCTAGGTGCACCACTGGGCCAGACCCTCTGTAACACACATGCCAGGGGGTGCCAGATGACTTACTTTATCACTTTTCATGAATGAACTTCCTCAGTCATAGGGACAAATAAAGGCTTCAAAAAACACTTCAAGTCTTTTTATGTCTACATTGAAGAAAATGATTTCTGCTTCTGAGTTTGTTTATTTTAAACCCTCTTTGGTTCCTGGGAAGAAGCCCAAGCAAATGTCATGGAAGTTAAAGCTGCTAGTGGCGATTCTGGGTGAAGCAAAGCACGGTATTGCTTTTGTATTTTAATGCCCCGTGTATAGGAGGGTACCTGTCTCTCAGAAGCAAGGTTCCCAAGTGCTGTCCTTTCCCCTCACTGCAGGAATTCCCCCAAGATCTCTATAATGTAGCCCTTGGTGGAGTTCCCTCCTCTGGTCTGCCTTCCCCAATTTCCACCCTCTATTTGGAATTCTTCCCCCATGGCCACCCCACAGCCCACCTTAGCAGGCTGTTGCATTTCCTCCAGGCTTCCTGATTCCCTTCCTGTCCCTGCAGGGCAGGGGCCCCGAGGAGCTGGAGGCCCGAGGGTCCTATTCTGGTCCCAGGGCTTGGGGATACCCACCACCGTGGGCTAGCAGGAGGATGGACGTGGACTTGATCCCGAGAGCCTGGCCTGGCCGCAGCAGCAGCTCTACAGAATCAAGGCAAGCGTTGGGGCCCCGGTTTGGGAGTGGGGAGGCACTCCAATGGCAAGGCTATCTATGCTCAATCAGTGCCCATAATTGTTTCTTCTAATGATATGAGACTGAATGGTCTGGGACGGGCTGCAAGGGAGTCTCCAGTCTCCTTGGGCCCTGGACTGTTTTAATTGAGCATGTGTGAACATGAAACCTGCTGCTGGGATTTGAATGGGGCTATGTTGGTTTAGCAGTACAGCATTGTCTATACCCCAGCTCCCTTCCGTGTGGTTCAGTCATGGGTCTAGGATGGGAAATGGTAGGCTAGGTCACCCTAGTAGCTATAGTTTAAGTGGTCCCTTCTCTACACATAGCAACACTGAGCATCAGCACTGTGCTAAGTCCTCCCAGAGGCAGGTGGCAGGGCTAGGGTCACCTCAGGCAGCTGGTCAGGAAGATGGTCTATGGGTTCAGAAGTCCTAGGCAAATACAACTGCCTTTGCCTGCGATAAAGGATAAAGGGCCAGGCAACGAGGGTGAACAATGTCCAGGAGAAAGCATGGTAGTGGCATTAGTAACTGGGCAACTGCAGATGCAGCCAGGATAGGGTGATATGGGGTGACAACAGAAGGAGAGGTTCTGAAAGCATGTGGGTACTAGGAGTCCTCTGGCCAGGCTGAGCCCTGGGTGGGTGTGCGCTGAGCCTAGGTTGCAACCACTTGTCGGCAAAATGGACTGCCTGAGAGATGTCGGGGGCTATGCTGGAGCCCTGATCTACACGGTAGATGACATTCGCAAGGGCAGTAATTCCTTGTGTTCACATCACTCTCCTTGGGGAGTGGCTGACAGAAGGTTGAGTCCTGAACAATGCCTTTCAATGTGCTGGGCAACTCCGTGCCTGATGCTGTTGTCTTTGTGTCCTGAAGCCTGTGGTGAGGCAACATGGATTTGGCCTGTTGGGCTTGCAGACTCAGGTCCGTAACCTCAGCGAGAGAAGTCTTGGAGACAGCAATGTCTGTGTGTTTGTGTGTGTGGAGGGCATCCGGATACCCAGAAACCTTCAGAGTGGCGTCTGCGAGCAGACCTGTCAGTTCAGGCTTGGGGGCTCTGTCCTCGGTGCACTGGTCCAGGGCTCGGTGATGGCAGTAGTTGTTGAGCGCGCCCAGGGCGAAGTTTCCCAGGCCACCTTTCGGGACGAGCTGTAGTCACCGCCCCATTGGGCGTCCTCCCAGACTAGGTCTCAGCAGCGCTCCTAGCCCACACCCCGCCTCTACCACAGCAAGACGCTGCTTGGCTCCTGTTTCCGACTCTGACTACGACTGCAGCTCCTCCTCCCACTCAAGATCCCGCCCCTTACTCTTCTTGTCCTCCGCTTCCCGCCCCGTGTTAGAAGCCCCGCCCCACACCGCGGCCCCGCCTCCACACCGAGACCCCGCCCACACACCCTCCCCGCCCCACACCGCGGCCCCGCCCCCGCACTTCCGGGCGGCGCCGGCGGGGGCGCTCGGGCCTGGGCTTCAGCGCTCTGGGCTCGGGCTCCCGTCTCAGGGAAGCGCTTGCGGCCGTTGCGGCCGTCGCCGCAGGAGCCCGCTGGGGTCGGGCTGGAGCCTCTTTCCAGAGCGGGCTGGTGAGAGTGAGCAGCCGGGTCTGGCGGCGCTCTGCGGCCTGCCTCGCGCCTTCTCCGGGCCACGGGTTGCTGAGCCGCCGCCGCCGCCGCCGCGATGGGGGTCCCCCAGGGCCGCGCCCCCGCCGTGGCCCGCCCGCGGAGCCGCCGCTGAGCGCATGGGCCTCGCCGGGCCAGGAGCCAGGCCCCGGGCCGCGCCTCCACAGCCGCCGCGCGCTGGTGAGTAGTGGGAGCCGGCGGGCGCTCTCCTGTGGCGCGGAGGCCTGCTGCCCGGGGCTGCGGGAGTAGGCCGCGCTAGGCCGGCGGACCCGGACCCGGAAGAGAGGGGCGCGCGGGTTGCGGGCGGGAGGCGTGTCGGAGCGCGGCCCGCGATGTGCATGGTTGTGCACTGCGCGGGGAGACCAGAGCTCCAAGGGGAAGCTGAGCAGGAGAGATGCAGGCTCCGCAGTATGTGTAGAGGCGTGGGGGCTGCGTGGTATGCTAGGCATATGGGGTGAAGGGCTTTAGAGGCCGATCTGCCAGGGAAGGGGTGATAATAGGGCATGGGGAAGGAAGGTAAAGGCCTATGTGAACAGGACAAGGGAGTAAGGAAGCCCAAGGATTCTAAGAATGATCCTCAGTTGGATGTGTGTCTGCTGAGTGTGGTGTGCTTGCAGTTGTTCATGGGTCTGGGGCACGTTTAGGATGTGGGTGAGTTGGTGCTGAGGAGGTGCTGGTGCCAGACTGTGTGTGTCCTCCGAGATGAGTGTGTGTGTGTGTGTGTATGTATGTGTGTGTCCTCCCTTTGCGTCATCCCCCAACCGCTGCGAAAAAGTAAAGGAAAGTAGGGATGAGTAAGAGCAAGAAGGGCACTCTGTGACTATGCTGTGGTTTGGCTTGCCAGATACCCGGTTGTTCAGGTGTCCATTTCTTGTCCGGTTGATGCCTTACTTACCCACCTCCCAAACCAAACCAAAACAATCCCCCAAAACCAAAACCCAGAGCTGCACATTTTTAGTTGGCCATGAAGACAATAGGGAGAAAAGAAATCCACCAGCCTTGGGTTTTTCTCAACTCATCTCCAGGATAGTTCTAAAGAGTTCTCATTGTGTGTGCGCTCCTCCTTTTCACTCTCACATGTTCCCTTTACTCACAGACTGTTGCAGAACATGGAGTCTAACTTCACCTGAGAGAGCAGTACTAGCTGGTTTCAGTTTTAGTACTTCACTTCAGCGATGAAAAAGTGTATGAAGCACAGGGATTTTGTTTGATTTTTCAGCAGGTGTTGACTTGTCCTACATCTTTCAGAGAAACAAAGTGGGTTATATTGGCTGTTAAGACTTTATGTGATGGGGGACTGTAATGGATATGAAATGATAGTCCTGACCTTTCAAGAATTTAATCAATGGATAGTTGGTAAAATGCTAGTCATGTTATTACTTCCACATTCAATCTAAATCATAAGTTTGGAAGTTATGCTTGAGTATAATAAATACATACACAATACCCAGGGCTGTTTGTTTTGACAGTGTCAAAAGGAATTTTAAATATGATATCAGACTTACATATTACCTTTATGGAGTCACTTTATAGGTGGTGGTTATAGATTTGAGGCAAGATTTGGTGCTATGGGCATTGGACTCTTATTGAATTTTCATAGCCACTTTATGTATGGTATTTCTGTGTGTGCCTTAAATGCTAGGTATCTTCTGTTGGAGCCCAGGGATTATTGGAAATTGGACTGTTTCAGCATTAGTAATTTGTGGGAATGTTCATGTACTTCCAGGGACAGGTGGCCAGGGATGCAGGCCCTTTTTCCTGTGGTGATATCCTAGATAAGAGCATGGTAGACATGATGGCCTGGTGTGCTGCTTCAGACATCCAAGGTCCTTACTTCATGGAGACAGAGCTCCCAGAAAGTGACTGAGGTTAAAGAGAGGTGTGGGGAAGTCTATGAGCAGCAGGAGACTACAGTCACAGAGGCTGTGACCTTAAGAAACAGGCTGGTCCTGCTGAGGCTGAGATTATAACCTACCTAAGAAGTCATTAGTTGCAGAAATGTCATAATTGTGACCCACCTTTTATTTGTACATGCCTCTTCCTTCTAGCCATTAGTAATCTAGCCATCAGCATTGTTAGCAGGTAAAGTGTGTATTGTGTGAGAATGAGCATGGGATGGATTTCATGGAAGCCAGGGAAGCACTGTGGAGTGGTGACCAGGGAGAGCCACTCCCTTATTTTTGGTTGTAGATGTAAATTGTGCTGTTTTTGTTTTGTGACAGGGTCTCTTGTAGCCCAGACTGGTCTCCAACTCTTACGTAGCCAAGAATAACTTTGAATTCCTGATCTCCTGCCTCTCCCTTGGGTCAAAGGTGTGCACTACCACTCTCAGTTTTATGCAGTATTGGGGATCTGAGGATGGAACCCAGGCCTTAATCTTGCTAAGGCAACACTCTACCATCTGAGCTGCATCCCCAGCTCATGACCTTGAATTCTTGATGAAGGTCTTGAACTCTTCCTCACCTTCAAGTGCTGGGATTACGGATCTGTGTCAGTACACTGGCTTTATTTATTTATTGAGACAGGTTCTCATTTTTTAACCTAGGCTAGCTTTGACTCCGGATGATCCTTCTGCCTCAGCTTCCTGAGTGCTGGGATTACAGGCATGAACCTCCATGCTGGCTTTTGTTTTAAGGATTTATTTTGTGCCCTGTGGCTTGTTTAGTGTTCTAGACATCCGACTCTGTCATCTTCCTCTCTCCAGCTCTCTTTTAGTGGGTCCATTTGGGACAAGGCAGGCTGTGTTGCTTTCTCCTTTGAATAGGTTGAGAGGCATTGCTAGAGCTCAGGGGCTCTCTAGGTTCCCATGGGATGTAACAGAAAGGACCAAAGATCATAGCAGAGGTTCCTATCCAAATATGAACTGGTTTGGTTCCTTTTGCACATCATACACAGCAACAAAAACTGTAGTTCCCTAATCTCTAAGAGTGTAGGTGGTATGGTTTTCATCTGGTGGAGCTAAACCATATTTCCTGTAAGCTTCTTTAGCTAAAAAGCTAAAGTATTTGTAATTCACTTTTTTTTCTGTACCTTTTCTGCCTAAGTTCCTAGTCACCATTTGCTATCAGTAAGGGAATCTCCTTCTAAGAGAGAAATTAGCAGCTAAGCACACCTTTCTGGATCTCTGAGGTTGTCTGTGTTGATGCACAGATGCCTCTGCATGTGGACTGTGTCTTTCCATCACTGGTCCATGGTGTGGAAGGTTGCCCATCAGTTGATCTCTTAGCTGTTGAGAGCTGGAAGGACATCTTGCTATGTGGTTGTTCATGTTATGAGGTATGTCAGGTATGAGAAGTGATAGAGCAGACAGGTAATACAGAGACTGTTACACTTGAATATGCCCATCCACCTGAGGATCTATAGTGTTGTGCCTCTTTGTTTCTGAGTCTCACTAGGGCGAGTTGAGATAATTATCTTCATGTGTGAGAGACCAGCTCACCGATGCTGGCAAATGGGAACAGAGACACCTTTCCTTCTTCCAGCTTTCCTGTCCGTCGGACAGTCATTTCTTTAGCCAGGATGGGTGATCTTTAGGCCTGACCACTGAAGACATCCCTTGAAGGAGAGAGGCCCTCCATGATTCAGGCTTTCACTTAGTGTGAGAGGCATTCTTGTAAAAATTTCCAGAAATTGTCTTAATGATAGAGCAAAACTTCTGGCCAAAATATGTCTCTACTGGAAGTCTGCACTGAGTCTCTGCTCCAAGTGGGAGTGGGAGGGCATCACTGCACATCTCAAGAGAACCTCTGGTGTTTCCATGGACCACCTTTCCTAATCCTTGTCCTCTTAATGGTTTCAACAGGACAGATTGATTCCCTTGGGAGCTCTAAGTACTGAGGTATTAGGGTGCAGCGCTCATTGTTCACTGACGCAGAGTCCCAAAATGAATGTCCAGGAGCAGGGTTTCCCCTTGGACCTCGGAACAAGTTTCACCGAAGATGCCCCCCGGCCCCCAGTGCCTGGAGAAGAGGGAGAACTGGTATCTACTGATTCAAGGCCTGTCAACCACAATTACTGCTCTGGGAAAGGTGCCAGCACTAAAAGTGAGACCTCGACAGCTACCCCAAGACGTTCAGATCTGGATCTGGGATATGAGCCTGAGGGCAGTGCCTCCCCCACCCCACCATACTTGAGGTGGGCTGAGTCACTGCATTCCTTACTGGATGACCAAGATGGGATCAGCCTGTTCAGGACCTTCCTGAAGCAGGAGGGCTGTGCTGACCTGCTGGACTTCTGGTTTGCCTGCAGTGGCTTCAGGAAGCTTGAGCCCTGTGACTCAAATGAGGAGAAGAGGCTGAAGCTGGCAAGAGCCATCTACCGAAAGTACATCCTGGATAGCAATGGTATTGTGTCCAGACAAACTAAGCCAGCCACTAAGAGCTTCATAAAGGACTGTGTTATGAAGCAGCAGATCGATCCTGCCATGTTTGACCAGGCACAGACAGAAATCCAGTCCACCATGGAAGAGAATACCTACCCTTCCTTCCTTAAGTCTGACATTTATTTGGAATACACAAGGACAGGCTCAGAGAGTCCGAAGGTTTGCAGTGACCAGAGCTCAGGGTCTGGGACAGGGAAGGGCATGTCTGGATATTTACCCACTTTGAATGAAGATGAAGAATGGAAATGTGACCAAGATGCAGATGAGGATGATGGCCGAGACTCTGTCCCCCCCAGCAGGCTCACCCAGAAGCTGCTATTGGAGACTGCTGCCCCGAGGGCCCCCTCAAGTAGACGGTACAGCGAAGGCAGAGAGCTCAGGTGAGTTTGGCACAAGGTGTCCATTTTCTATACACACCTCGGAGACCTGGCAAAGGAGCAAGGGAAAGGTGGTAACAGGTGGCCTTGTTTTCAACCCCAGCTGAAATTTCTACTGCTGCTGTTGTTGAATTACGGTTCTATTTCCTACTTAGATGCCTTCATACCTGTCATTAGAAACCTTTTTATATTTGCAGAGTTGAAAATGCAGTGAACAAGACTTGCTAGGTGTAATCTCACCTACCTGGGAAGCTGAGGCAGGAGGATCAAAAATTGTATGTCAGTCTGGGCAACTTGTAAAGACTCCAAATGAAAAGGTGTGGAGGCTTATCAGAGTTCCTGCAGAGCATGCCGGAAACCCTCCTTTAGTTCTCTCCTTAGTAACGCATGTACTGCTAAGCATAGGGCTTGGTGAGTTATTGGAAGCATGGAGATTCTTAGAAGTCATACTGTTCAAACTTTGCCCTTGAGCACAAAATTCATGTCTTGTTGCATAGAAGAAGGACCTGATCGAAGATAGGGACCCTAACCCTTAATAATGGAAGGGGAATACATTCAAATGCATAGGAAATTCTAATTGCTTTATTTTTAACTTTGAACTTTTTTATTTTATTTTATGTGTATGAGTGTTATATCTATGTATGTATACCATATGTGTGCCTGGTGCCCTGGTGCCCACAGAAGTCAGAAGAGGGCTTCAGATCCCTTGAGACTGGTGTTAACAGACACTTGCAAGCCAGGATGTGGGTACTGGGATTCAAACCCAGGCCCTCTAGGAGAGCAACAAGTGCTCTTAACTGCTAACCCATCTCTCCAAATCCCACTCTCCCACCTTGCTGTTTTAATCAGTCTTTTGGACTCTTCCTGAAGGATGACATCATAGTGGGAAAGTTTCTGTGTAGTCAGTTGTTGGAGGGTTCAGAAGCTTGTGATGTCTGCTTAGAGCTCCAGAATTGGACGTTTCCCTTTGTGGTGTGGTCAGCGAACATCAGCCCAAGGGTGCACTTGAGGAGCAGCAACAGGGCCTCAAGTGACCGTAGCGTTGAAACATGTTTCTTCACCTTTCTGTTTAATTTTTCTTTTTACATTTATTCGTGTGTGTGTGTGTGTGTGTGTGTGTGTGTGTGTGTGTGTGTGTGTACACACGTGCCTCAAGTGTGGTGGGGTGGGGAGCACTACCCTCAGGCTCACATGTGGCATGTGTGTGCATATATGGTAAGAGAACTACTTGCAGGAGTCGCTTCTCTTCTTGTGGGATCTAGGGGTTGAAAACTCAGTCATAAGGCTTGGTGACAACCTCCTTTACCTGCTAACCTGTCTCGCCAGCCCAAGTTTTACCATTTTTTAAAATTCGGTATCTTACCAGGTGGTGGTGGCGCACGCCTTTAATACCAGCACTTGGGAGGCAGAGGCAGGCAGATCTCTGTGAGTTCGAGGCCAGCCTGGTCTACAGAGCGAGATCCAGGAAAGGCACAAAGCTACACAGAGAAACCCTGTCTCGAAAAACCAAAAAAAAAAAAAAAAAAAATTCAGTATCGTGATTAGAGGAGGTCGTTTGGCTGCATCAGAGCTTGTTTTACTTGTTGTCAGAATTGTGTTTCCTGCTTATTTCCCTAGAGCTGATGACTAGAGACTTACCATTAATTTCAACATGAAAACCTTTCCCAGGTGCTGAGATGGTTAGTGTTTAGAACTCTGACTTAGAGCCGTTCATGGTGGCTCAGGGATCCAGTGAAGTGGGTTGTCAAGAAAACAGGTTCATTGAACTATAAAGAAAAGCTACATGAGAGACCTTGTCTTAAAAAAGACAAAAACAGCCTGGCGGTGGTGGCGCACGCCTTTAATCCCAGCACTTGGGAGGCAGAGGCAGGCGGATCTCTGTGAGTTCGAGGCCAGCCTGGTCTCCAAAGCGAGTTCCAGGAAAGGCGCAAAGCTACACAGAGAAACCCTGTCTCGAAAAACCAAAAAAAAAAAAAAAAAAAAGACAAAAACAAGAAACAGTAAAAATTATAGGTATAGCTGGGTTGTGGTGGTGCACGCCTTTGATCCCAGCACTCAGGAGGCAAAGGCTGGTGAATCCCTGAGTTGGAATCCAGCCTGGTTCACAGAGTGAGTTCCAGGACAGAGAAACCCTGTCTTGAAACACACTCCTCTTCCCTCCCCTGAAAAAGTTAAAAAAAAAAAAAAAAAAAAAAAAAAAAAAAAAAAAAAACAGGCTGGAGAGATGGCTCAGAGGTTAAGAGCACTGCTTGCTCTTCCAAAGGTCCTGAGTTCAATTCCCAGCAACCACATGGTGGCTCACAACCATCTGTAATGAGATCTCGTGCCCTCTTCTGGCCTGCAGGGGTACGTGCAGACAGAACACTGTACACATAATAAATAAATAAAAAAAAAATGAAAAAATTATAATTAAAAAAAAAAAAAAAAAAAAGAAAAGCACAGTAGTCAGGTGTGGTAGTACAGACCTTTTAATCCCAGCTCTCTTGGGAAGTAGAGGCAGGCCAGTCTACAGAGGGAGAAATCAAAAATGGTCACTTAGAAAGCTACAGAACTAACTCTTCTTTAAGTTAAGTGACACAGTTCAAAGTAGACTGTTGGACTGTATTTTATTCATTGTCATTAACCACGTGCTATTTACTTAGCAAGATTTCTTTTTTGTTTGTTTGTTTTTCGAGTCAAGGTTTCTCTGTGTATCCCTGGCTGTCCTGGAACTTGTTTTGTAGACCAGCCTAGCCTGACTTTGAACTCGGAGATCCATCTGCCTCCCGAATGGTGGGATTAAAGGCGGTGTGTTACCACCACAGCCCAGCTATTTAGCAGGATTTTAAAGGGTGGTGTTTTTTGATTTTTTTTTTTTTGGAGACAGGGTCTCATGCATCCCAGGTTGACCTAAATTCCCTGTGTAGCTGAGAATGACTTGAACTTCCTTTCCTGTCCTTCTGCCTCCACTCTAGAATTGTGAGATTACAGGCATGCACTAACAGTTTGTGTAGTGATGAAGACTGAACCCAAAACTATGGGTATTGACAAGACATTTGACCAACTGAACTACATTCTTAGCACTTGATTTATTTTTTGAGACAAGATCTCTTATAGTCTTCAGATGATAACTTTGAATTATTTATCTTCCACCTTTTAAGTGCTGAGATTACTGGCAAGCTCCACCATACCTCGTTTCTAACATGTTTTTTTGTTGCCTGTAGTATTTGTTCATGTTTTTTGTTTGCAGTGTTAATGATCTAATTCAAGGCCTCATGCATTAGAGGCAAGTGCTTATCAATAAATTACTTCCCTCCAACATTGTAAATTGGACACATTCTACTTGTCATGCAGGGAGCTGTAGTTAGGAAGCACCAGGCTGGGAATAAGAAAATCCAGTCCATTGGGATTAAATTTTGACTGAATTGACTACTGTTTCATGTGCTTTGAATGGAAATTCAACACTCTCCTTCCTTCCTTCCTTCCTTCCTTCCTTCCCTCCATCCCTCCCTCTCCCTCTTTGTCTCTCTCCCCTCTGTCTCTCTTTCCTTTCTTTTCTCTTCTCTTTTCTTTTCTTTCTTTAGAAAGGGTCTCACTATGTAGCCCTGGCAAATTTAGAACTCTGCGGACCAGGTTGCCCTCAAACTCTCAGAGATCTTCCTGCTTCTGCCTCCTGAGTGCTGGTACTAAAAGCATGTGCTGCCACACCTGGCTAGCACTTTTCTTTATAGTTCAGTGAACCTGCTTTCTTGACAACTCACTTGGTTGGATCCCTTGTGACGGAGGTTGTTGCCTTTGTGAACTTGTGTTCTAACTACTCTTGTTTACTAGTCTTTCCCACAGCAGTGAAGGAAGGCTATTATAGCCACTGGCTCATAGTGGGGAACATTGGTGCTGCTATGTCCTGCTGGTACCTGAATACTTAGAGCAGTGGTTCTCAACCTGTGGGTCATGACTTCTTGGGTGTTGTCAAATGATCCTTTCACAGGGATCACATAACACTAGCAAAATTACAGTTATAAAGTAGCAATGAAAATAATCCTATGGTTAGGGTTTACCGTAACCAGGAACTGTAGTAAAGGGTTGCAGCGTTAGGAAGGTTTAGAACCACTGGCTTAGAGCCTGATGATGTACTGTTGGGCTTAAGCCAAGTAAGGCCATCTTGTAAGCAAAATGGGGCACTCTACCTAGACAGCATGGCTATTCCCCAGTGGAGGGAGAGGAGTCCTCCAAAGGAAAATTGGGCTGATGGGAATTAGGAAAAGAAAAGTTGAATAGATGACTAGCAAGTTTTCACTAGGGAAGGATGCCCTGGAACTAAATCTTCCCAGGTGATAACTTAACTTGGATGGCACATTAATGAGATGCAAAGGGCCAGATGTATGTAGTATAGCATGATACCAACAGACTTGAGTCACTGGGCTCCTTGCTTTGTGTCTCTGATTTGGTGCTCTGCTGTGCTTTTGTTGGTGGCCATTCTGCCTTGACAAGATTTGCCATTCCTGTCCTCTGTTGTCAGAGCATGTGCATAGTGATTTTCATACAGATGATTTGAGGCTTGATTCTTTGAAAATTGAGAAGGCATGATGCTCTCAGCTAAAACCAAGAAGACAACACTATTCTTGATTGGATTTTGAGTTTTGAGTTTATTATACTCATGCAGGCACTGTGAGCCATTGGGCCTAAGTGTCCCAGAACACTTCTTTGGCTTGGGCTTAGATGTCAAAGAACACTTTTGGCATTGGCTTTGTTTCTTCTCATTTTTTTCTTTCTAATTTACCCCTTTGTAGTGGAGATTGAACCTAAACCACTGAGCTTACTCAGACCTCTTTTTTTTTTTTTTATTTTGAGATGGAGTACAGCAAGATGGTTCAGTGGGTAAAGGCACTTGCCACACATCCTGGCACCTGAGTTTGATCCCTGGGACCTATGTAAAGCTGGAAGGAGAGAACTGAGAGCAGAAGTTGTCCTTTGACGACCCCTACACACATGCTATATAGACACACCCACCTTCTCAATAATAA